GTGGGGGGATGCCCTGGGGCAGAGGGTCATGACGCCCAGCCCTGGCTTGCAGGGAGGCAGGAGTGTTCCCCCAAGCTCTGAATCACTGGGTGACTTTATAGGAAGCCAAACCATTAGCATTCATCTTGTCTCTACGCTCTGGTTTTCTTTCTCATAATTGCTGTAGATGTGGCGGAAGGGAAAAGACCTCTAGGCAGGCCCCGGGCTTTGGGCTGAGGCTTTCTGTGTCCCTCGGGGAAGCTCCAGCAAAATATTTTCTTGCAGGTTAACAGCAGCAACAGATTTAAGTAGGCGGGGGACCCGCAGAGAGCTCTGCCGTCCCCCTGCAGCACTGTGTACCACAGGCGAGTCACCTCCCTCCCCTCGCTTCCCTTCCAAAATTTACTGGTTTTCTTTACCTAGGCTGGCTCCCATCCCTCCCACCGTGTCTGTGCTTCGCCTGGCACCCAGCCTTAACAACACGCTGTACGCTTCACATCAGCGTACTGCAGTCGGCTGTCTGCAGATCCGTGGCTCTCCATCCTCAGTTACGGTTGCATCTATTCAGGTCTAGCTTTGAAAAGCTCAGTGAACTTGCTATTTCTCGTCAGCATTAAATTCAGTTAGGCTGCCCTCTTGAAAACATCAGTAAAGTAAAATCTAATGGCTAAAAGATCCCTGCAGATAATCAGGCGGCTGGGCTGCGTGCTGTTGCTTGCTCGCTGCCCGTTGCAGAGGCAGGCTGCCTTCTGGCAGGGCTGCACTGAGTCCAAACACCTGTCTGCACTGAGGCGCGGTGGGGCAGATGCTGCTGACCTCCAGAACCTCCACCCGCAGCTCTGGGCAGGACGAGGAGGCGAGTTCAGATCTGAGGGGACCGACCTGTCCCAATGGTGATGGTGTCCGAGGAACAGAGCCACTGAAATGAGGGAGAACATCCCCCGTAACAACCACCCCCCTCCGGAGTGATGGAGCTCGTGCGGGTGCTGGGTGAAGGACAGTAGGCAGAAAGGAGAGGCCTTGCTCACACGCATGGATAGAGGCAAGAGAGAAATACATCCCAGCTGCAGCGTTTTCATGCACACACCGCCCTAGACCTGGATGGATGTGGGGCCACAAGACCTTGTGAACGAGCAGGTAAGGAAGGGATGGGAGTGTTCATCCGAAAAAGCGGCGAGATCTAACGAACAGGGGTGGGAGTGTGCAGGTGGGGCCAGATACTTCTTAAGCTGATTTAGATGAAAAAAAGCCAATATACTACAAAACTGCACTCACAAATGCTAAAATATGGCAATCTGGAGGTTAAAACATGAGTTTCCTAACAGCTCGTGATGCTGCAGGTCAGTACAAGACACGACGAATCGCCTGTCCTTGCAGTCCCTGATTTCCCAGGAGAAACTGTGGCAACATGAAGTCCCGCACGTCCCAGCTGCAAACAGAAGCAAAGCCAGTTACAGCCTCCCCCTCAGCAGAGATACACGAAGGGTGAGATGCGACGCAAGCTTTCCCGTGCCCACACAGGGCCACTTGCCTGTCCCCAAGCAGGTCACTACAGCGTGATCCTCACGTCCCTGCCATGCTGCTTTTTTTCTGAAAGCTGTCCCAGCTTCCCAAATCGAACGTGCGCAGACTGGACACGGCTAACGCTGCGTCTGCCACGTGCCCCACGCTCCTAACCCCACCGTCACCTAAAATGTGACATCTCCTTTCCGTAGAGACCGCGCCACGGCGTTGGGAGTATGACCAGTGCAGCGGTGGGATTCACCCTGCTGTCACGCCAGGACACGGCCATGGGGTCCGCTAACACCTCGAGGGCTCAAGCGCAGTCTGGGATCTTCCTTTGGGCACATTTGTCACCTGAACTTGGCCCTCTCCTGACCTATTTAACACTGCTGTGACTCGTGCGTCACAAATCGTTGTCTGCAGTTAAGTTGTGTTTGCACCGAGATCCTCACCACGAAGGCCAGGAGACTTGCAAGAAGGGTTGAGTTGGGTCTCTGAGATTGTCTCATTGCTGAAAGCTAGAGCGTGGAAACTCTGGCACCCTAAAAACGTGAACCATCTAGTAGTGGTGCTTCACCACCTACAACAAAACTCCTTCTTTGCAAGTACATAACAGCATGTTTCCAAAACTTCGCTCCAGGCGCACGCACTTAACAGGAGGGATGATTAAATGGGGCAAGGAGAGCAAGCAGGTGCTTTCCCTGATCTCTTTAACAACTTCATCCAAAGGCTTTTTACACACAAAGCATTAAGCCGGTTTGCCCACGTACACCTAAAGAACAAGGTCCACAGCGGAGTGACACCTCTATTTTCAGTTTTAACGTCTGCTGAGCTGGGCTTGTTCAGCCTGAAGAAGAGAAGGCTGCGAGGGGACCTTATAAATGCTTATAAATATCTCAAGGGTGGGTGTCAGGAGGATGGGGCCAGACTCTTTTCAGTGGTGCCCAGTGACAGGACAAGGGGCAATGGGCACAAACTGAGGCACAGGAAGTTCCGTCTGAACAGGAGGAAGAACTTCTTCCCTCTGAGGGTGACGGAGCCCTGGCACAGGCTGCCCAGGGAGGTGGTGGAGTCTCCTTCTCTGGAGATATTCAAGACCTGCCTGGACAAGGTCCTTTGCAGCCTGCTGTAGGTGTCCCTGCTTCAGCAGTGGGGTTGGACCAGATGACCCAGAGAGGTCCCTGCCAACCCCTACCATTCTGTGATTCTGTGATTTACACCAAGTCACGAAAACATGTGACAGTTTTGTACTTTATCTCTGTCCAGAGACGAGCAAGTGACAGGCGTTCCTCTCCCAAGAGAGGGAGGAAGGGGTTAAGCGGTTTCAAAACAAGCTGGGCGCAACTGATGTCAGATTTTTGTCTTACAATGGCATCTCTTTGCTTCCCCAGCAAGCAGTATATGGACCGCTGGGCACTGTGTCCTTCCAAGCACAGCAGAAGACACCGCATAACGTCAGAGAGGACAGATTTTCCTCACTCTTCCCTAGCTGGAAGGTCTTGTTTGTCCAATAACTCTGGAGAAAAATGCAATTGGAAACCCCAGAAAAACTTTTCTGTTGTTTTTGTTTGGTTGGTTGGGTTTTTTTTACTTAAACGTTGTTTCCAGGGTATCTGTCTGACACGAAGGGCTCAGCTGTACTCTGTGCACTTCCCTGCTGTCACTGTGAGCATGTGTTGACCCGCTTAGATTAAAAGGAAATCAGCATCATAAAAATTATGACCATCCTCCCAATTTTCTGAAAGCCTCTCCTGGGCAGTCAGAAAAAGGGAAAGTGTGGGTGAGCAAAAGCAAAAATCTTTAATCTTTCTATTTGGCTATTTCAGATTATCTTACAGACATAGGGACTTAGGGCAACGTTAAGACAAGGAGCTGGGAAAGCAGAAAGTCTGTGAAGTTCAAAATGAAATTTTAACACTGAACTTGCCAGAACAGACCTGCTGCCTGAAAGTAACGTTCTTCTCTTGGCCACCCTCAGCTTGCACGCCTTTTTATTAACTGGAAAGTCCCTGAGCAGGCTCCGTGCTCATTTTCTGTGCTTTTCCTGCTCATTTTCACGTTCTGGGTGAGCAGTCCCCCAGGAGTGCTCGCGCCGGGGAGCCTGGGTAGCGCTGGCAGCAGGCAGGGACCCCTCGGCACCGTGCGAGAGCGAAGGCGAACTCCAGCAATCGGCTCCAAGTGGCGTTTCCAAGCCCCAGAGCAGGTTTCAGACAGGCAACGCCGAGCCGCAACGCCTCCGTGCTTTGGACCTCCCGGCTAAAAAGCACGACTTGGGTTATTCTCACATCATCCCCGAAGGAACAAAAGTCACGGGGAGCTGGCACCTCCGAGGAGCATCACGGCGCAGAAACGCACGTACTCACCCGTCATCAGCGTGTAGTAGTTGGGGTAGGAGAGGCTGGGGAAGTCCGGGGTCATGTAATCCGCCTTCACCCCCATGCTCACGATGTCCCGAAAGCCCGGCAGACCCTCCAGCTCGCTGTCGTCGAGGTAGTCGAAGCGAAGGCCG